GTGTGTACTTTGTAAACTACTACACACTGTGTGTACTTTGTAAACTACTACACACTGTGTGTACTTTGTAAACTACTACACACTGTGTGTACTTTGTAAACTACTACACACTGTGTGTACTTTGTAAACTACTACACACTGCGTGTACTTTGTAAACTACTACACACTGTGTGTACTTTGTAAACTACTACACACTGTGGTGTACTTTGTAAACTACTACACACTGTGTGTACTTTGTAAACTACTACACACTGTGTGTACTTTGTAAACTACTACACACTGCGTGTACTTTGTAAACTACTACACACTGTGTGTACTTTGTAAACTACTACACACTGCGTTGTACTTTGTAAACTACTACACACTGTGTGTACTTTGTAAACTACTACACACTGTGTGTACTTTGTAAACTACTACACACTGTGTGTACTTTGTAAACTACTACACACTGTGTGTACTTTGTAAACTACTACACACTGTGTGTACTTTGTAAACTACTACACACTGCGTGTACTTTGTAAACTACTACACACTGTGTGTACTTTGTAAACTACTACACATGCGTGTACTTTGTAAACTACTACACACTGTGTGTACTTTGTAAACTACTACACACTGTGTGTACTTTGTAAAACTACTACACACTGTGTGTACTTTGTAAACTACTACACACTGTGTGTACTTTGTAAACTACTACACACTGTGTGTACTTTGTAAACTACTACACACTGCGTGTACTTTGTAAACTACTACACACTGTGTGTACTTTGTAAACTACTACACACTGCGTGTACTTTGTAAACTACTACACACTGTGTGTACTTTGTAAACTACTTACACACTGCGTGTACTTTGTAAACTACTACACACTGTGTGTACTTTGTAAACTACTACACACTGTGTGTACTTTGTAAACTACTACACACTGTGTGTACTTTGTAAACTACTACACACTGTGTGTACTTTGTAAACTACTACACACTGTTGTGTACTTTGTAAACTACTACACACTGTGTGTACTTTGTAAACTACTACACACTGTGTGTACTTTGTAAACTACTACACACTGTGTGTACTTTGTAAACTACTACACACTGTGTGTACTTTGTAAACTACTACACACTGTGTGTACTTTGTAAACTACTACACACTGTGTGTACTTTGTAAACTACTAAACACTGTGTGTACTTTGTAAACTACTACACACTGTGTAGACTTTAAACTCATAAAATAAAGTTCTAACATTTTTATCTCTAAACTCAAAATTCTATTACCAAAGCATTTATTATGTTGAATAATTCATGTTGCTGCCTGGTGAGTCATGTTGTTGTCTGGTGAGTCATGTTGTTGTCTGGTGAGTCATGTTGTTGTCTGGTGAGTCATGTTGTTGTCTGGTGAGTCATGTTGTTGTCTGGTGAGTCATGTTGCTGCCTGGTGAGTCATGTTGCTGCCTGGTGAGTCATGTTGCTGTATGGTGAGTCATGTTGTTGTCTGGTGAGTCATGTTGTTGTCTGGTGAGTCATGTTGTTGTCTGGTGAGTCATGTTGTTGTCTGGTGAGTCATGTTGTTGTCTGGTGAGTCATGTTGTTGTTCTGGTGAGTCATGTTGTTGTCTGGTGAGTCATGTTGTTGCTGGTGAGTCATGTTCTGTATGTTGCTGGTGAGTCATGTTGTTGTCTGGTGAGTCATGTTGTGTCTGGTGAGTCATGTTGTTGCTGGTGAGTCATGTTGTTGTCTGGTGAGTCATGTTGTTGTCTGGTGAGTCATGTTGTTGTCTGGTGAGTCATGTTGTTGTCTGGTGAGTCATGTTGTTGTTGGTGAGTCATGTTGTTGTCTGGTGAGTCATGTTGTTGTCTGGTGAGTCATGTTGTTGTCTGGTGAGTCATGTTGTTGCCTGGTGAGTCATGTTGCTGTATATGTTAGTGGTGAGTCATGTTGTTGCCTGGTGAGTCATGTGTTGTGTGTCATGTTGTTGTCTGTGGTCATGTTGTCTGGTGAGTCATGTTGTTGTCTGGTGAGTCATGTTGTTGTCTGGTGAGTCATGTTGTTGCCTGGTGAGTCATGTTGTTGTCCTGGTGAGTCATGTTGCTGTTGGTGAGTCATGTTTTTGCTGGTGAGTCATGTTGTTGTCTGGTGAGTCATGTTGTTGTCTGGTGAGTCATGTTGTTGTCTGGTGAGTCATGTTGTTGCTGGTGAGTCATGTTGTTGCTGGTGAGTCATGTTGCTGTGGTGAGTCATGTTGTTGTCTGGTGAGTCATGTTGTTGTTCTGGTGAGTCATGTTGTTGTCTGGTGAGTCATGTTGTTGTCTGGTGAGTCATGTTGTTGTCTGGTGAGTCATGTTGCTGCCTGGTGAGTCATGTTGCTGTATGGTGAGTCATGTTGCTGTCTGGTGAGTCATGTTGTTGTCTGGTGAGTCATGTTGTTGCCTGGTGAGTCATGTTGTTGTCTGGTGAGTCATGTTGTTGTCTGGTGAGTCATTGTTGTTCTGGTGAGTCATGTTTTTGTCTGGTGAGATCATGTTGCTGTATGGTGAGTCATGTTGTTGTCTGGTGAGTCATGATGTTGTCTGGTGAGTCATGTTGTTGTCTGGTGAGTCATGTTGCTGCCTGGTGAGTCATGTTGCTGCCTGGTGAGTCATGTTGTTGCCTGGTGAGTCATGTTGTTGCTGGTGAGTCATGTTGTTGTCTGGTGAGTCATGTTGTTGTCTGGTGAGTCATGTTGTTGTCTGGTGAGTCATGTTGTTGTCTGGTGAGTCATGTTGTTGTCTGGTGAGTCATGTTGCTGTATGGTGAGTCATGCTGTTGTCTGGTGAGTCATGTTGTTGTCTGGTGAGTCATGTTGTTGTCTGGTGAGTCATGTTGTTGCCTGGTGAGTCATGTTGTTGCCTGGTGAGTCATGTTGTTGCCTGGTGAGTCTTCCCCAAACATCGTAAGAGGGAACAGCATTTAATTTCTAATTGACAACTCTCTTTAATTCACTCTTGACCGATGACTGAGGAAACTCTAGACGATGTCTCAGTCCATCCTGTTCAGTTGTGACTTGATAAGAGCCTCAAGTTATTTGTGAGACGTTCCAGGAAAGAGCACCTGCGACCTGTTTTGCTTTTTCTCTCGTAGATCAAGAGCCCCTTAAGGCAGCATCAAGGCACCCATCATCATCGCCCCCCGTTGCTGGGGAATGATGGATTGATGAGTGGAGATCACCCCACAGTCTACTCTGGAAGGTCACTCTGCACACTCGTCTCTGGCTCTCACTCTCCACCACAAGCTATGTGGGTGCCACCCCCAGCACTCATGTCTGGTGCGGGCGTGTGGGTGGTGGTGTTCTGCAGTGTGGTGTGGGCGGCGGCTGCGCCCTTCTCCCGGCAGACGACGTCTTCCAGGGAAGGTTGGTTACTATCGTCACATCGGCGTCACTAATTAATTCCGTTCAGAATGTACAAAAAAAAGTGGGTAGTGTTTTAGGGGAATGTCATCATATCTTGTTAATTACGTCTCACTTCCTTCTCTCTCTCTCTCTCTCTCTCTCTCTCACTCACTCACCACAAACACACTCAAACACGTAGCAAGAATAAGTGAAGGAAGGTGCACTATAAAAAACGAGAATCGAATTAGTGAAATAAGAGTGAAAGAAGTCAACACAATATGAAACAATTAATATCGCAGCGTCAACAAGTTATGCTGAAAATAAGACGTTCTGAAGAAAGCTAAATCGGATGAAAAAAAAAATAGTAAGTAATTGGATAAATTTATTAGGGAAGAACGAAGTGAACTAGTGAGTGAGAATGTATAGGTGAGAGAGAGAGAGGGGAGAGAGAGAGAGAGAGAGAGAGAGAGAGAGAGAGGGGAGAGAGGAGAGAGAGAGAGAGAGAGAGAGAGAGAGAGAGAGAGAGAGAGAATAAGGAGGTGAACCTATGAGAGAGATAGCGAGAAAACTAAGTCATTGGAGAATGTAAATGAGGAACTGAAGGCGAAAAATAAATACTTGGGAGGAGAAGGAGGAGAAAGAGAAGGAATGAGAGCTATTGGAATAAGTGAAGACTCGGAAGTGAGACTGAAGGAAGTGTGTGGAGCACTCAACAAGTTGACACTTTGGCAATATAAACACAAATGCAGTATAATGTGATCCTTTATTGACTACGTTTCGCCCACACAGTGGGCTTTTTCAAGTCACAAACAGAAAAAAGCCCACTGTGTGGGCGAAACGTAGTCAATAAAGGATCACATTATACTGCATTTGTGTTTATATTGCCATTGTGTCGGTATTTTATACCATTTATTTCCAAGTTGACACTTCAAAAGTCTAAATTATCTTGAAAGTAGATTGAGGGGGGGGGCTGTAGTATTGGAACTGTACAAGGCAATAAGTCTGTCAGTAACACCAGGGGAAGTGTTTGGTTGAAGTTTGATTGATGATGCTTAGAAAATCATAAAATTTAGGTTGACAACAAATACTCAGTCAAATTATAACTTTCATATCAAATGATGTTAATATAAGAAGCTGAAAACTTACAGGAGACGAGGCGGTGACGGGGGTGATGCTGGGGTCAGGTGTCTCCAGGGTGTGTGGCAGCCTGCCTGGTGCCAGACCTCCTGCTGATCCTGCTGACACTGCTAATCCTGCTGCTGCTGCTGCTGATCCTGGTGCCCCTAGATCGTCGAAAACAGCATTTCAGAGCATTTTCGAAGCTTCTTATGATGAGGCTAATGGTGTTTTGGGATCCCTTTCCTCTGGGGTTGCTGCTGGCGCTTCTGAGTCAGAGAGGGTGAGTGAGTCAGCTGGAGATCCCTCTTCCTTCACCGTCTGCGCTTTCGTCAGGATACACAGGAGCCATGAACGCTCATCACTTCTCACCTACATCAGTGAGGTCAACATAAACATAGGTAGGTGTTCTCTGATGCAGTAGTAGGGATGGTACGAGTGCTTCTTAGTGGAGGTTAACAACAGTTTGTAAATATAAAATACATATAAATGTGAGACAAAAAAGTTGTGAGCAGGGTTGTATGTTGTGTGTACACAAATGTCTTGCCTGTGACATAGATCTTCAGAAAGTTCCTTTAAGCAAAAGGTTCTTACATCAGACAAGAACTGCGCTCAGTGTCTGTGTAAGAGAGAGAAAGATATAGAAGTGAGAAGTCAGGGAAGTAAACCTGAGACAGCCAGCTTCCTACACTACAGAAGTGAGCCGTCTGGGTGTGGCGCTGCAGGTGCGGGAGGAAGAGGGAAAGAGAGAGACTATATATCAATTCTTCGAGGTCAAGTTTCCTCCCTACGTCTGGCGTCACCTGTGTCTCCAGTTTGACCACAACACCACCCAGGTGAGCACATAATTATACCATTATTGAACAATAAGTTGCACAAGATTCTAAAAAAAAAAATGATCGTGTGAATTTGATATGCTGACAAAAACGTCATAATTTTAGAAGATCATGCTGTCTCGATGTTATATATGAAAGTAAACAAGCTATCTATAGTATGGTCGTCAGTCTGAATTTGTATAATAATTACATTGTTTTATCCAATGCTCTTGTTTTATTTAATGCTCTGTTTTGGCATTATATGATTTTTTATTCCCTTCTTCCACGTAAGGTTCGGTGTTTTGTTGATGGTGACCAGGAGATGCTGTCAGTGAAGCGCTTGTTAACGACAGCAGATTGGCAAGTTCCATCCCTTAATGATGGAGAAGATATTGGATTGGTCGAAGAAAGTGTAACAGACGTCAAAGTTGACCAGACACATTGTCCACTAGCAGGTGAGATGATCTGCACGGCAGAGGAAGCAAGCAACAACAATGTATTTCCAGAGGGAAGTATCATCAGGGGGACTTCCCCAACAGTACTGCAGAGGGAGACTGGGGTGGTGTGTGTGGGCGGGTGTGACCAGCACCATACACTGGAGGCAGACGTAGCTGGAGTCACTGTGTGGAGAAGAACACTGGGTGCCGAGATACTGAAGAATATCTCTGGCTGTCATCCACATCAGCGTCTTCATTTCGACCAGGTGATAAACCTACGATGGTCTGTCTTTGGCAACGTGTCACTACGCTCTTACTCAAGGCGTAACTTGTGTTTATCAATTCCTCGGGTGGTGGTAGTTCAGGCTGCCGGTACTTATGCTCGCCATCAATCAGTATGCCAAGCCCTAGGTGGCACCCTCGCCTTCAGCACTGAACTGACAACCCTGGGAGTAGCTCGAGGGTTTAGTGACACCTGCGGTGACACCAGTGGTCTCATGGCTTGGCTCAGGGAAGACCGCAGGGTCAGTGAAGCAGGGAAGACCAACACAGAGAAGTGTCCAGCCTTGAGTGTGGGGAGTCGTGATTGGGTATCTTGCGAGTTGCAACTGAAGTGTGCCATGTGCCAGGTGCCTAACACTCTCATGTACATCCTATATGGCCACAATGGGAAACTCTTTGATCATAATTACTTTATCCCCGCTGACACGAGATCGCTGCAGTTTAGAGGGCTTGGCGAGTCAGAAATCATACGGAAGGGTCAAGGTTGGTTGTTACGGTCGACACTGCACCTGACGGAGTGGCTGCTGGAGGAGGCAGACATGCCTGTGGGTCGTCAAAAATGGAATGTCGGGAGCCAAATGGTCGTTTTGACACTTACTATCTGTCGTACGATTGAGTTCGCGTGCGACGACGGTCAGTGCGTCCCTCATACCGCTCGCTGTGACGACATTGTTCACTGTAACGACGGATCAGACGAGGTCGACTGTCGTGTGGTTGAACGACCTTCCTCATACGACCTTATCAACCCTCCGCCTTCACGACCCGGCGAGGCAGTACCACTCCACCTCAACTACCACATCGACGTGTATAATTTGAACGACGTGACTACCAAGGAAGGGGTGGCTAGCATGGACCTGGGCATCACTGTCTCCTGGTTCGACCCGCGGCTCAAGTTCCTCAACCTCAAGGAGGGAATCAAGAACTACTTCCCGTGTGAGCTGGTGTGGACGCCGCGGGTGAGAGCGTTGTCAGGGCGCGGCCACGGCACCGTCCTCACCTCCAATAACTACGAGAAGTTCTGCTACGCATACAGCAACGACCAGACGGAGTTGCGTCCTCTCCACGATCCTCTCATGAGTGAGTCGTTTAAGAGGTTGAGTTTACATAATATTCCATTCGAGTCTCATTAGACAGGTCGCTGAATCCATTCTCAGGACTCTTCCCATTATTTTTTTTATCTTGGTGTTATTCTGGAATATCTTTTCAATGTGTCATGACTCCTCGTACTAAATAACTCACATGAGTTTAGTGCTTCATAAAGTATAATAATAATTTATAATAACAATAAAAACTTACGATCAACAGCGCTGGACAAGTGATTCATGAGCGAAGCTGTGAGTCTCGTGTCACGTCGCTTCGTTCTGAAAAAAGTGAATTGGAACAGCAATAAAAATTTATTTAATGCAGCTATTCGGCAGCTGTTATCTGAAGACTGAGGCAAGAATACTTGGTGAATAGCTGTATTCACTAAACGTTTGCGCGTCCCCAAGAATATGATAATAATTGAGTAAATACTCACGTATGACTGTAAGAGACCCTTCTGTTAGTGTCCTTTGCGTGTTGATTATTGTTGTTATTGGTTACACATATAAGCAGGCACGTTTCTTGGGTGATGCACTTATTTTTGGTATATAAATATTTCGTTGCTCAAGGATACAATGTGACTCTCTGGTTTAATGCGTTGAAACTGCAGCAGTGGTACGCCAGAGGATCTTTGACCACTGATAGTCACCACTGAAACACCAGCGCTCTTCCTAACGATCTCATTAGGTACTGGTCATGTATTCTTTAACCAGATCTAATACCAGTGGACGACTATCACAAGTAACACATGACTAATCACTGATTTCTATCACCTGTTCACCAGCAGTTCCTTCATCACTGAGCGAGTCAAAGACCCGTCTCGGTAAACTCTTGTTGTTGACGAATAAAGCACCACCAGCACCTCCCACAGGTCACCAGGCCGACGGCTTGACCAACGCTGTAGAGCTGTACCTCGGAGTGCTGGCTAAAGTGCCCTGCCATTTCCAGCTTCAGATGTATCCCTTCGACGTGCAGCGGTGTAACCTCTCTTTCGTCGTTATGAACGCTCCCTTCACCCGCGCCTTCAGGAAGTCTTCCCCCGGCAGCCAAGTTCCCTACCTCAATGCGGTGAGCTCTCACATGCTGCGGCTAAACATTCTACAATAGCTATGTTAAAACTAATTTTCTTTTCCTAAAGACTGGTTTAACCTCGAGTTAAACCCGACGTCAGAAATTCTTACACAATTGATTTTGTTTGCGGTTTTTGTTTTTGTTACGACAAAAAGCATTGTGGAGCAAATACCAACATTATAAATTCCCTCTGAGAAGAACTCTACTGATCCAGGTTAAGTTATTGATCATGTGTAGCATTTGACGAGTCAGTCAGTCAGCCAGTCAGCCAGCTAGCCAGTCAGTCAGTCAGCCAACCAGTCAGTTATTCAGCCAGCCAGTCAGGCAACTGGCTAACCAGTCAGTCAGCCAGCTAGTCAGTCAGCTAGCCAGTCAGTCAGCCAGCCAGTCAGTCAGCCAGCTACTTAGCCAGATAGACAGTCAGTCAGCCAACCAGTCGGCCAGCCAGGCTGGGGCCAAGCTTCTCTGGTGGTTGCCTGATTACCTGTGATATACCTGACCACCAGTCACAGGTATATCACAGGTAAGGCAATCTCAGAGGATAATATCTTTTATAACAAAACAATAAAGAAAATCAGCTCTGGTGTACTCATTTCTTAAGTATCTTTCTCTCCAACCGCCACCACCATCACCATCATCATCAATCATCAACACCACTAGCGTCGGATGCTCCTGGAGTACCTGCTAGAGAACCTGACGACGGAGGCCGGCTGGAGCCAGCTAGGCTCCGACAATAACACCTACATCGTGCTCACCTACCACCTGAGGCGTCTTTACGGCTACCACCTAACTAACAGCTTCTTCCTAAGCCTACTCATTTTCTTCATTTCCTACGCGACTTTCTTCTTCCAGGTGATCTCTCTCTCTTAGAAATCCACAAAAGTCTTTAAGATATCACAAAAAAAGTCTTTAGAATGTCACCAAAAAAAAAAAAAAATCTTTAAAGCACCACTACGAACGCCACAAGAGTCTTTGCCACGTTAATTAACATCTCTTCCACCTTCTTCTGTCGAACAGATGGAGGACTTCACGAACCGCATCATGGTGTCACTGACGGCGCAGCTGGTGCTGGCGGAGTTGTTCACCTCGACGACCCAGTCATCAGCCAGGACTCCTTACCTCAAGCTCATCGACCTGTGGTATGCAGTGGTCATCACCTTGTGCTTCTTAATCGTCGTCACGCAGACGGTCTTCAACGTGATCCTCAACGCGGGTCGCTTCCCAGGAGTCTTCGTCCGGGTAAGGGAGAGCTGGTAGCGGGTCAAGGTCAAAGAGAGAGAGAGAGAGAGAGAGAGAGAGAGGAGAGGAGAGAGAGAGAGAGAGAGAGAGAGAGGAGAGAGAGAGAGAGAGAGAGAGAGAGAGAGATACTGTCCTGTATTTTGCATTTTTTCCGAGAATAGAGAGAGAGAGAGAGAAAGAGAGAGAGAGAGAGAGAGAGAGAGAGAGAGAGAGAGAGAGCTTGGTCATCTAAACATGACAATAAACAACGTTAAAAATGATCGAGTCACTGAAGCAACCTTGAAGACAAGAAGAGAGAAGAACTGGTGATAAGAGGTAAATGAGCTCATATACAATGTGAGAATAACAGAGCGAGAAAAATCTAAACCAGAACCAAAGCCGCTATGTAAAAACATCAGAAAGAAGACGATTGTTAAAAACTCAGCTGTAAAGAGGAGAAAGAAATGGAAAGAGATTATTGAGAATGCTGAGGAGATCTGCAGTGAGCTCGTTGCTGAGGAGATCTGCAGGGAGCTGGTTGCTGAGGAGATCTACAGGGAGCTGGTTGCTGAAGAGATCTGCAGGGAGCTGGTTGCTGAGGAGATCTGCAGGGAGCTGATTGCTGAGGAGATCTGCAGGGAGCTGCTTGCTGAGGAGATCTGCAGGGAGCTGGTTGCTGAGGAGAGGATACACAAAGTTGGTTGCCGTGAACTCTGACAGATCAGCGGAGATCAGAAAAGATTGGTTTTGGTAAAGGCACAAGTGCAACTAATATGACATTTTATTGTAGCAATGTTTCGGTCTCTAGGAACTTTGTCAAGCCAACTCGACAAAGTTCCTGGAGACCGAAACGTTGCCACAATAAAATGTCGCATTAGTTGCACTTGTCCTTTTTTTTACCAAACATATTATTGATGTTTCTACCAACATTATTACAGACAACATTCTCGCTACAGAAAGAAGTGGAAAAAAACAGAAGAAACTGAATAAATCGCAAGCAACGGGACCTGATGGAAACCTCGGGGATGTAGATAAGAGCTGGCGAAACGTCTCGTTAGTAAATACGTCTACCTGGAGGGTGTTGCAGGGGTCAACGCCCCCGCGGTCTGGTCCTTGACCTATATAAAAACAAGAAAGAAGTGGAAAAAGGCACGTACATACAGATCAGGATATTTATTAGGAGAAACGATTCTCTACGTTTCCTCTAATAAATGTCCTGATCTGTACATAAGTGCCTTTTTCCACTTCCTGTCGGAAACACTATAACATTTCTCATAAGGAGGCACAATACCGTAACTGGAACAATATACAAAGAATCTTACGATAACGTTCAAGTCCGACTTGGACCAGTGACTAGCCTTCTTTTTTCCTTGCTCGGGTTATTTACACATAACATACAATTAGACTTGATTTTGAGATTGAGATTGCTTTTCGTTGACGATTTATACTCTTTGAAATGTTTTTCCGTGCATTTTTGCTAGAGTGAACTATTGTTAACACTCTTATTCCCCCAGGTGACTCCTGCGTTCACTTCACCTGCCAGCAGACACCATCGCCACAAGCACAAGCACCATCAGTGGCACAGTGCTACTAAGCCCAACCTGCAGTTAGCTCAGCGATGCAACTTCTTCGTCAGGGTTGGTTTTCTTTTGTGGCCGCCATCTTTGTTTTCTTTTACGTCCTGATGGCGGCAGGAGTCTGGCGACTCTCTTGATGGTATGTGGAGGAACACCTCCAGGAACAGCACCTCCAGGAACAACAAGAGCAGCACCACCAGGAACAGCACCTCCAGAAACACTACTAACAGCACCTTAAGGAACAGCAGAAGCAATACCTCCAGGAACACCAGCAGCACCACCACCACCACCAGCAACACCAGGAACACTACTATCAAACTAAGAGTGAGAGGTATATTATACATCTCTCAGTGTACACCACACGCAAAGTTTACATTAATCACTAAAAGCTTTAGACCTCATAAACTAACTCCGTATTATACATACACCTCAATATCCCTTCTTAAATAATAATAATAATTTTAATTATAATAATAATTATAACAATAATAATTCGAGAACTGTTATTGCAGAAATGTTTTCAATTAATTTTAAGCGAAATCAGAAACTAATCTTGAAAATAATGATCACGAGGAGTCTAATTGTTGATAATGATAGTGATGCTGCTATCAGTTGGGATGATAGTGATGGTGAGGATGTAATTGTGAGGTGAGGATGTGATAGTGAGAATGATGGTGAGGATGTGATAGGGAGGATGATGGTGAGGATGTGATAGTGAGAATGGTGAGAATGTGACAGGGAGGATGATGGTGGGATGTGATAGTGAGAATGATGGTGAGGATGTGACAGGGAGGATGATGGTGAGGATGTGATAGTGAGAATGATGGTGAGGATGTGATAGGGAGAATGATGGTGAGGATGTGATAGTGAGGATGATGGTGAGGATGTGATAGTGAGAATGATGGTTTAGGATGTGATAGTGAGAATGATGGTGAGGATGTGATAGTGAGAATGATGGTGAGGATGTGATAGGGAGGATGATGGTGAGGATGTGATAGTGAGGGAAAGATGGTGAGGATGTGATAGTGAGGATTTATGGTGAGGATGTGTTTGTGAGGATAAAGGTGAGGATGTGATAGTGAGAATGATGGTGAGGATGTGATAGTGAGAATGATGGTGAGGATGTGATAGTGAGAATGATGGTGAGGATGTGATAGTGAGAATGATGGTGAGGATGGTGATGGGGGGATGTGGTGAGGAAAGTGATAGTGAGAATGATGGTGAGATGTGAAGTGGAATGATGGTGAGGATGTAATAGGGAGGATGATGGTGAGGATGTGATAGTGAGAATGGGTGGTGAGGATGTGATTAGTGAGAATGATGGTGAGGATGTGATAGTGAGAATGATGGTGAGGATGTGATAGTGAGAATGATGGTGAGGATGTGATAGTGAGAATGATGGTGAGGATGTGATAGTGAGAATGATGGTGAGGATGTGATAGGGAGGATGATGGTGGGGGATGTATAGTGAGAAAGGGTGGGTGAGGATGATGGTGAGGATGTGATTTGTGAGGGAAAGATGGTGAGGATGTGATAGTGGGAAAAAATGGTGAGGATGTGATAGTGAGAATGTGGTGAGGATGGATAGTGAGAATGATGGTGAGGATTTTGATAGGGAGGATGATGGTGAGGTTTTGATAGTGGAGAAAGATGGTGGGAGTGTAGTGAGATGATGGTGAGGATGTAATAGGGAGGATGATGGTGAGGTTTTGATAGTGAGAATGATGGTGAGGAGTGATAGTGGAATGATGGTGAGGATGTGATAGTGAGAATGATGGTGAGGATTGGAGTGAGAATGAGGGTGAGGATGTGATAGTGAAATGATGGTGGGGATGTGATAGTGAGATGTGGTGAGGATGTGTGGGAGATGATGGTTGAGGATGTGATAGTGGAATGATGGTGGTAGTGATGTTGTGAGGAGGATGGTGGGTGTGTAGTGAGGATGATGGTATGGATAGGGGGGGAATGAGGTGAGGAAAGGATAGTGGAATGAGGTGGGGTGTGATAGGAAATGATTAGGGTGTGAATGGGTGAAGTTGAGGAGATGGGTGTGAGTGAGAAATTTATGGAGGTGATGGTTGATGTGAGAAGGGGGTGAGGAGAGTGATTAGTGGATGGGGGGATGTGAAGTGAGAATGAGGTTGAGGATTTTATAGGAGAATGATGTGAGGATGTGATTGTGAGATATGGTGAGGAAGTGATAGTGAGAAGATGTGGGGGATGTGTAGTGAGAATGATGGGAGGGTGTGAATAGTGGAATGAGGTGAGGTTGATAGTGTAGAATAGGTGAATAGGGTAATAATTTGTAATAAATAATAATAATAAATAATTAAATAATAATAATAGTAATATAATAAAATTCAACTCAGTTTTTTCCGGGGTCTTGGGGAGCGCTAACCGGTAAGGGACATGCAGGGCCCGGAAATGTGAGGCATCATGTTGATCCGAGGGAAAGGGAAGCGGGATTAGGGGATAGTTGCTCGATTCCTCGTATTCAAAGGAGAGCCAAGGAAAATCACGGAGGATCGAGCCTTAATCCAGGTCTGTCTCGGGATTAGAGACCAAAATTAGAAAGTTAGATTTTTTATTAGAAAGAATTAGAAAGTTAGAATTTTGAAGTTAGAATTAGAAAGTTAGAATTTGAAATTAGATTAGAAGTAAGAATTAGAAAGTTGAATTAGAAAACAATAATTTAAAAGTTAGGAAATTTGAAAGTTAGATTTGAAAGGGTTTGAACTCTTTGCCTCTCTGGACAATTTTCAAGTTTGGGGAAACATCGACAATGAAAGTCACTTTCGCTGTTTGTCTTTCACTGAAATTAGCCAATGTGTGGTACAATGTGTGGTACAATGTGTGGTACAATGTGTGGTACAATGTGTGGTACAATGTGTGGTACAATGTGTGGTGCAATGTGTGGTACAATGTGTGGTACAATGTATGGTACAATGTGTGGTACAATGTGTGGTACAATGTGTGGTACAATGTGTGTACAATGTGTGGTGCAATGTGTGGTACAATGTGTGGTACAATGTATGGTACAATGTGTGGTACAATGTGTGGTATAATGTGTGGTGCAATATGTGGTACAATGTGTGGTACAATGTGTGGTACAATGTGTGGTACAATGTGTGGTACAATGTGTGGTACAATGTGTGGTGCAATGTATGGTACAATGTGTGGTACAACGTGTGGTACAATGTGTGGTACAACGTGTGGTGCAATGCATGGTACAATGTGTGGTACAATGTGTGGTACAACGTGTGGTACAACGTGTGGTACAATGTGTGGTACAATGTGTGGTACAATGTGTGGTACAACGTGTGGTACAATGTGTGGTACAATGTGTGGTACAATGTATGGTACAATGTGTGGTACAACGTGTGGTACAATGTGTGGTACAACGTGTGGTACAATGTGTGGTACAATGTATATTACAATGTGTGGTACAACGAGTGGTACAATGTGTGGTACAATGTATGGTACAATGTGTGGTACAACGTGTGGTACAATGTGTGGTACAATGTGTGGTACAATGTGATACAATGTGTGGTACAATGTGTGGTACAATATGTGGTACAATGTGTGGTAAAATGTGTGGTACAATGTGTGGTACAATGTATGGTACAATGTGTGGTAAATATGTGGTACAATGTGTAGTACAATGTGTGGTACAATGTGTGGTTCAATGTGTGGTACAATGTGTGGTTCAATGTGTGGTACAATGTGTAGTACAATGTGTGGTACAATGTGTGGTACAATGTGTGGCACAAGTGTGGTACAATGTGTGGTTCAATGTGTGGTACAATGTATGATGCAATGTGTGCTATAATGTATGGTACAATGTGTGGTACAATGTGTGGTACAATGTGTGGTACAATGTTTGATAAATATGTGGTACAATGTGTGGTACAATGTATGGTACAATGTGTGGTACAATGTATGATGCAATGTGTGGTAAAATGTGTGGTACAATGTGTGGTACAATATATGGTACAATGTGTGGTACAATGTATGGTAAATATGTGGTACAATGTGTGGTACAATGTGTAGTACAATGTGTGATTCAATGTGTGGTACAATGTGTGGTACAATGTGTGGTACAATGTATGGTGCAATGTGTGGTACAATATGAGGTACAATGTGTGGTACAATGTGTGGTTCAATGTGTGGTACAATGTGTGGTACAATGTGTGGTACAATGTATGGTGCAATGTGTGGTACAATGTATGGTGCAATTTGTGGTACAATGTGTGGTACAATGTGTGGTACAATGTGTTGTACAATGTGTGGTACAATGTGTGGAACAATGTGTGGTACAATGTGTGGTACAATGTATGGTGCAATGTTTGCTATAATATATGTTACAATGTGTGGTACAATGTGTGGTACAATGTATGGTGCAATGTGTGTTATAATGTATGGTACAATGTGTGGTACAATGTGTGATATAATGTATGGTACAATGTGTGGTACAATGTATGGTACAATGTATGGTACAATGTGTGGTACAATGTGTGGTACAATGTATGGTACAATGTATGGTACAATGTATGGTACAATGTGTGGTACAATGTGTGGTACAATGTATGGTACAATATGTGGTACAATGTATGGTACAATGTGTGGTACAATGTGTGGTACAATGTGTGGTACAATGTATGGTACAATGTGTGGTACAATGTGTGGTACAATGTGTGGTACAATGTGTGCTATAATGTATGGTACAATATGTGGTACAATGTATGGTACAATGTGTGGTACAATGTGTGCTATAATGTATGGTACAATATGTGGTACAATGCGTGGTACAATGTATGGTGCAATGTGTGATACAATGTATAGTACAATGTGTTGTACAATGTATAGTACAATGTCTGGTACAGTGGTACAATGTCTGGTACAATGGTACAATGTCTGGTACAATGGTACAAAGTCTGGTACAATGTTACAATGTCTGGTACAGTTGACAGTGTAGGGAGCAGCAACAATGGGACAAACATGTCCGTCACTACCACCTGCTCCTCACCCTTCCTCTCTCTCCTTACTTTCTTGTCTCCCTACCTCACTCTCTCCCTACTTTACTGCCTCCCAATCTCACTCCTTCACTCACTCTCCCTTGCTGCATCTCTCCCTCACTCTCTCCCTTCCTGCATCTCTCCATCACTCTCTCCCTTGCTGCATCTCTCCCTCACTCTCTCCCTTGCTGCATCTCTCCCTCACTTTCTCCCTTGCTGCTCTCCCCTCACTTTTTCCCTTGCTGCATCCCCCCTCACTCTCTCCTTGTGTTTTCCTCCCCACCTCTCCCTTGTGACCTCCTCCTCTCCCCCTTTGCTGCATCTTCCCCCCATCCCCCTTTCTGCATCTCCCCCTCCCTTCCCTTGTGACTCCCCCTCACTTCCCCCTTGCTGCATCTCTCCCTACCTCTTCTTCTGCATCTCCCCCTCACACTCTCCCTTGTTGCATCTTCCCCCCTCACACTCTCCTTGCTGCATTTCCCCCTCATCTCTCCCTTTGCTGCACCCTT